CTGTTAGCCTCAGTGTTTCCAGTCCGTGAGAAAGTGTGATCGTGCGTTTTCGATTTCAAGTTGCCCTGGGAAGGTCGCTCCTTCCCGACCTCTAGTCCTTGGAGTGCGTTGCCAGTCCCTGCCCCCTTTGCAGACTCAGCCCGTCTACCTGGCCAAGCTGATCTTTCAGATGCCACAGAACAAAAGCACCAAGTTCATGGAGGCTGTGATTTTCAGTCTGTACAACTACGCCTCCAACCGCCGAGAGGCCTATCTCCTGCTCCAGCTCTTCAAGACGGCGCTCCGGGAGGAGATCCAGTAGGTGCTCGCACACGTGGGACTGGGAGGAGAACGGGCTGGGGATGCCCCTGGGCGCCTTCGCAAGTGACACTTGTTGAGGTTTAAGGGTAGGAGGGAGTTAGAAGACCTCGTCCCAGCCTCCTGTGGACAGCGCAGGGGGAGGGCCTGGGCTGGCGGGCCAGCACCAAGGCTGAGCTTGGTCCCCTTAAGGGGACACCGGAGCGGGCTTTGAGGAGCCACCATCTCAGAAAGGAAAAGCAGCGATCTTTCCTGCACAGAGGCAGGAGGCCAGCTTCAATGGCCTTTCAAACCACAGATCCAAGGTAGAGCAGCCCCAGGACGTGGTGACGGGCAACCCCACAGTGGTGAGGCTGGTGGTGAGATTCTACCGTAATGAGCGGGGACAGAGCGCTCTGCGGGAGATCCTGGGCAAGGTTATCCAGGATGTGCTGGAGGACAAGGTGCTCAGCGTCCACACAGACCCCGTCCACCTCTACAAGAGCTGGGTCAACCAGACAGAGGCCCAGACAGGGCAGCGCAGGTGAGCGGATGACGGGTGGAGGGAGAGTGCTCTGGTCGGCTTCACAGGGCCAACGCGGGGAGCCTGGGTGTGCTTCGAAGGTGGCATGTCAGTGAGCACGCTGACTTATGCAAGGACAGCAGGGCCCTATAGCAGGAAATCAGGAGGCCTTCAGACTCCCTGTGGTGATTAACACGGGAACCGACGTAAACGACTCCAGACCTGGTGGGCTTAATGTGGGAGGGGGTGGTGAATGTGCAAATGTGCCGAAGTGCTGGGTCACCGCTTGCAGATGATACATCAGAGTTGCTAGGAGTTAGCACCCCTCAGTGATAGGGGTGTAGAGGAACATTAAGATTTACAGAGGGGGGTCAGCAGGTGGTATGGTGGTTAAAGGTGCTGGATTTCCACATGGATGACCATGGTTCGAGGCCTGGACCTTTTTTTTCCAAAAAAAAAAAAAAAAAAAAAGATTTACACAGAGAGGGGCCAGTAGGTGGCGTGATGTTTAAGGACATTGGACTCCCACGTGGCCAGACGTGGTTTGAGTCCTGGACCTGGTGACTTGCTTTCTCACTTTCTCTCTTTCTCACTCTGTCCCTCCCTGATCAAATTAAAATTAATTAATTAATTACATTCAATAAAATAATTATTTAATTTTAAAAAATTTTTGCAGAGGAATGGAGCCAGCACGTGGCTTGGTGAAGGGTGCTGAACTCCCACATGAGACCGTGGGGAAAATCAGCCGGCCTTATACTGAGGGCCCTGTCAGATTCACAATTCGTAGGTACCAGGGAGCTCTCCCTGGGGAGAGCAGGTGACCCTGGCTGGCTGTGCTGGATGGCTTGGGAGGCTTCAGGCCCCGGAACTCCCAGGCCCTGGCTCAGACTTCCCTGTTGTTCCAGCCGCCGAGGACTCTGTGAGGGGCAGCTGCCCCGATCCTCTGGCCCCCCGCGGGGCTTACTGCC